CCACCACGTTGGCAAGATGGAAAATAGATTTCTACTGCCTGAAATGCATAATACGTCTTAGTACATGTCAATAAGATGGTCAACAATGCTTCCACAAATGGCCACAGAGGATTGAATGATACTGTAGACCAGGAGTGGTCAACTATGGCTACTTTGTGACCAGTGGACTTCAACTCCCAGAATTCCTGAGCCAGCCCTGAGCCATAGTTGACCATCCCTGTTGTAGACCTAACCGAAGAAATCACTTCGAAAACATCTTACCCAAAAAAACTGCAAGGTCTAGTCCAGGCAGTCACCGGTATTGAAAAACTGACTTAAAGGCATGCGCAAAGAAAACAAAGAAAAGCAACAAAACCCTGCCAAAATTAATGCTATGGGCTTGTTGAAAAAAATTCAAGAGAATAACAATTAAATACAAATTAGTTAAAATCATGGAGAAAGTCCCACATTTCCCATAGAGATGGGTTAAATTCTTAGGCATGTCCTTTTCTTCTTCAAAATGGTGGGCTTCATTTTTTTTTTCCCAGACAAGGATGGCTGCGTTGTTAACATATCCTCTTCTGCTGAATTGTTTCTCATTGATTCCAGGGGATCAATCCAGTTTCTTGATAAGCTTATCCTCTAAGGACAAGTTCATATTTTGAAGCGCACACGCTTCTAAACCAAGGGAGCAGGGAAAGAGAATCACTTTCCTTCCCAAGGGGGGAAAAAATGATTAAAATGGAGAAAATCGACTCCTTCCTTGAAAACAAATCCTCGCTAAGAAAGACAGTCTCATCAAGTGCTTCAACATGGACTCAAGTGAACTTGTACATTGTCCTCTTCCAAGCAGTTCCATGAGCTGCATTACTGTAGAAGGCTACTACGGCATCTTGATTTTTAGAACAGTGGTTCTCAACCTGTAGGTCGGGACCCCATTTGGGGGCGAACGACCATTTCACGGGGGTCGCCAAACAACACAGTCCGCCATTTTTTCCCCCTTTTCCTTAGCTGTGCTACTCCTTTTTATTCTATTGGCTTTTGAAAGCCAATAGAATAGACTCTCTTGAATAGAGTCTAATTCTATTGGCTTTCAAAAGCCAATAGGAATTGTCCAGGCTGTCTCTGCCCTGCTGAGCCCGCCAAAAGTCCCATTCTGCAAACGGTGCTGCACCAGTTGAGTAGTCCTCGACTTACGACCGGTTGAGTAGTCCTCGACTTACGACCGGTTGGGAGTCGCGGCATTAAAATGGTTGAGAACCACTGTTTTAGAAGGATATAATTTCACAGAAGATAGAATGGTAGGGTTTGAAGGAGCTTGAGAGTCTTCTAGTCCAGCCCCCTGCTCAAGCAGGAGACCCTATATCATTCCAGACAAATGGCTGACCAGTCTCTTCTTGAAAACCTCCAGTGATGGAGCGAGCACCCACAACTTCCAGAGGCAAGCTGTTCCACTGATTGATTGTTCTCCTTGTCAGGAAATTTCTCCTTAGTTCTAGGCTGGTTCTCTCCTTGGTAAGTTTTTGTCCGTTACTTCTTGTCCTGCCTTCAGGTGCTTTGGAGAATAGGTTGACCCCCTCTTCTCTGTGACAGACCCTCAAATATTGGAAGACTGCTATCATACTACCCCTGGTCCTTCTCTTTGTTGAGCCTCAATCGTTCGTCTTGTGGTTTAGCCTCCAAACCCCTGATCATCTTTGCTGCTCTTCTCTGCACTCTTTCTAGGGTCTCAACCTCTTTTTCAAAGCCACCGCAGGTGCAATAGACCATTCACTCAGACACCGTTACTGTTTGAGCACATACGTCCAGCTTTAGAAATCAGTCAATAGAACAACTAATAAAACATGCATCTTTATAGGCTGGAGTGCTTTGATTTCTGCCTAGAAGTTCAAAGGAAGAAGAGCTGCTAAATCTGGCCAAAAGGACATCCAATCCAGCACCATCTTTTCTAGGTAAAACAACCAACTAGAGGATGATGATGATGATGATGATGGTGATGATGATGATGATGATGTTATCCACGCAGTTTTGTCCAATTCTTGGCAATTCTATGGGTCAGGTTTTACCATGTCTTGCACTGCTTCCTCACGTTTTTCTATGCTCTGGCTGATGTCAGTTTTGATGGTATCCAGCCACCGTGCCCCTTGAAGTCTGGTTTCATTTTACCGCCAGCTTTTTCCAAACAACCAACGAGAAACCCCCCCCCAAAGCCTATAAACAAGAGAGGAAAGCAGAAGGACAGTCTTGTTCCTTCTGCTGGCTTATCTGCTGATCAATAATTGTGGGGAAAGTATCGCAAAGGGTCCACACAGACATCAGTTCATATGATGCTCAAAAGAGAATCAGAATCATGGGGGCTGGAAGGGGCCTTGGAGGTCTTCTAGTCCAACCCTTTATAGCAGGGGTGTCAAAACTCAATTTCACTGAGGGCCGCATCAGCATTGCGGTTGCCCTCAGGGGGCCGGGTGGGTGTGGCCAGGGTGGGTGCGGCCTACTGGGTGGGTGTGGATGTAGTGGGTGTGGCCTACTGGGTGGGTGTGGCCAGCTCTACACCGTTCGCTTCAAGGGTGCCTGTGGGGGCCTGGGCAGGAGTGGGATAGATCTGAGGGTCTCTGGCAGAAGGGGGTGGGACCAGGGCAAGCGCCAAGGCATGGTCCACTGGAGGACCCTCACTGTTCCTCTCAGGCCATGCGGGGGGGGGGGGCTTATGGAGCTAAGACTGAATGCGTTTCAGCATAGATGGCCACCACAAAATTGTACATTGGCTCCCAGCCGGCCTGGGCCAGGGCCAAGGCAGCGGGGGCCGTTCCCTCACTGTTTCCAGGATGGCTTTGCGGGCCACATGAAACCACTTTGTAGGCCGCATCCGGCCCCCGGGCCTTGTGTTTGACATGTTTGCTTTATAGACACCTTATATACCATGCCTGAACTGTCTTGCAGTAATGAATGTCATCCATGAAAAGGAGAAAATCGTGTGAGCTGGTAATTTCTCTCATCTGCCCTAAGTACCAGTCAATACCATTAGATTGACTTGGAACAGTTCCATAAATTATTCATGGAAATTAAAGCTACTTTTAACATAAATTAATTCCTCCCTGGAAAGGCAGGCCAAAATTAAGCCAACAGAACACTGTCCAAGACAGAAGGCAGCTGGTTTGCTGCTATTCAATTTTACCATTTCCGAATTACAGGTGTTAACTTTGCTAAAGTAATATGTTATCAGGTGCCCCATTCATTGTGCAGGCATATCTGACCCACTTAACAATCTTAGATTCAATACCACATTTCACCGTTTTATTCTAAGATAAGAGAATGAGGAATAACCCCTTTGCCCTTGCACAGAACCAACTAGCACACCCTAACGCTGTACTCTAAAATTGAATTTTAATAATTGATAACCCAGAAACCATTTAGTTGCGATAGCTAGGAACCGAATATTAGATGGCAAAAATTTTACTGTAACATTCGCACAAAGGCGAGAATTGTTATAATCATCCTTTGAATAGAATTCCATCTACCATCATCTAAAACCAATAAAAGTTGACTCATTTCTCAGCCCCTTAATTGATATATTTCACCCATGGGGAGAATGGCATTAAACCAAGAGATTATTCCTACAATACCAAAGTACCTCAAAAGCACTATTTATCATGTCCCTCCATACTCAACTAATAAATCCATCCCATTAAGGGATAGCTATTTACCTCATTCATTAACAAGCAGGCAGGTTAACAAATCAGAATTAGTGGGAAACTTGCCTAAGAAAACACAGTCGCAACTAGAAATCTGGACTTAGATCAGTTTGGTCCTAAGTTGAACTGGCACATGCTGCCTTAGCAACTAAGTATTGTTAATGCTTTTGTATGAAAACAAGACACTCCTAAACACACACACACACACACACACACACACACGCACGCACACGCACACGCACACACACACACACTTAGGATGATGCCATAGCCAAGGCTTTTGATATCACAAATTAAGATGTTAACCCGCTGGATCAGATAAACATATTCTCCTGGCCTACACAGGTAATCAGATTCACTTAACAACTGTGTGACTAACTTCACAACTGCAGTGATTCGCTTAACAACTGTGGCAGGAAAGGTTGTAAAATGGGGCAAAACTCACTTAACAAATGTCTCGCCTAAGAACATAAATTTGGGGGTCAACTGTGGTCGTAAGTCGAGGATTACCTGTACAGTCATATATGTGTATCTGGCTCCATACAGGTAATCCTCAAGTTACGACCATAATGGAGCCTGCCATAAAAACAGGCTGGTCATGTTTTATGACTTGTTATTAATTTCTTTTGCAATGGTCGATAAGCAAATGTGAAGGCCGTCAAGCAAACCCTTGGCTCACTATGGTGCAGTTTTGCCAAAAATTTCTGATGCTAAAAGTGCTGATTTATAGCAAAATTGTTGAAAAACAGGGTCACGCCATCGCAGGAAGCGACAAACGGTTGTTAACTGTGACCATGTGGCTAAAGGCCTGAAGTCCGGTCACATGAATGGGGGGGGCACAACCATTAGGTTATAAGTGCCCTTCTTGGGGTCAGTTGTAACTTCAAACTGTCAACTAAGCGACTGATCCTAAGTCAAGGACTATTTATTCAGATGACTCTGCTGATTTAATATAGAATTTAACTAAAAAAAATACTGCCGCTTTTATCTTTAAATTATTCCTTCAGCTCAACGTGTCGTCCCTTTTTGTTTTGGACAAAGCATCTCTACAGCCATTTTACATACAGCAAAAGGCAAAGGCTGATACTTTTCAATTACCAAGCGTGGATCAATTTTAAATCACCAAGAAAAATGCTGTGCATAAATAAATGAAAAGCACAGCACGAGACCATTTGAATTTTATTTGCCCAACGCAACCCTATTCACCAAGCAATTTTTCTGTAAGGCGCGCAATCAATACGCTGACTAAACAGGCATGCAAAAACCACGACAGAAAATAAAACGAAGCCGACGACGAAGGCCATTCCTTTGCCAAGCTGCGAAACTTACTGCAAGAAACCAAATCTATCGGTAACTTTGTAAAGCAGGTAGTCCGCATCTTCCCAAGGTTCGATCTGGGCTCCTTCACGTCCCTATAGAAAACACAGAAGACACATCATTAATTCATCTCGCTAAATTTACTACTTACGGCGCAGCACGTAACAATAGCTGCTGGTGTCCTCGGAACCTCACAAGCGATTCCTTATTTTTACCCTCAAACGCTGGAGGAAGAGAACCCGTGGTAGGATTCAGCCGGTTCGCACTGGTTCGGCAGAACCAGTAGCTAAATTTTGCTGAGTTCAGAGAACCGGCTGAACGCACGCTGCTTCCGGAAGTCCAGTCTAGGCCTTGGAGGCCTTGAGGAGGCCTCCCAGGCCTAGAACGGCCCACCAGAAGGGCATGGATTCCACTTCTGGAAGTCTGTTCCAGGCCTTAGAAACCTGAGCTCCCAGGCCTGGAACAGCCCACTGGAAGTGCGTGGATGCCACTTCCGGAAGTCTGTTCTAGGCCTTGAAGGCCAGGCCTGCATCCAGTAAGAGAACCGGTTGTTCAGGTATTTGAATCTCGCCACTGAGGAGAATCATGGGTCCGAGTGTCTTTCCCACAGCTATCTACAACTACACATATTCAAATCATCTATAGGTGTGCACAGGCCTTCTCTCAACAGATACACAATGGGGGTTGCCGCCAAACAATGGAGGATGTATCTGCACTATAATTTTTCCTAATGAACTCGCCTAACGAACTGCTCCTCCCGTTTCTCCAGTAGTAATTATCCATCTCCGTGTTCAGCTACAAAAGAAATATTAGCAAATAACTACAGTTTGTGGTCATGTGATTAGAATTCAGGGGTTTGGCAACCGGCTCTATATTTACGACAATCGCAGTGTCCCGGAGTCATGCGATCACTTTTTCTGACCTTCTGACAAGCAAAATCAATGGGGGAAGCCAGATTCACTTAACAATAATATTAGTAACTTAACAACTGCAGTGATTTGCTTAATAACCGTGGCAAGGAAGGGTCGTAAAAGGGGGCAAAATTCATTTAACAACTGTCTCGCTTAGCAATGGAAATTTATGAGCTTGGTTGTGGTCTTAAGTCAAGGACTGCCTGTGTTCTGCTTATGACTTTTAAGTCCAATTGCCTGACCAAGACTAGGAAAAAAAAATGCTGTTCTAAAGAGATTATTTGTTTCATGGGATCTCTTACCCTCTCCTCAAGAGAACACGCTTATTATCCTATTAAATGATATATTAGGGTCCATTTAATGGGGGAAAACAGGAAGACCCCAACTGAGCAGGCTTCAGTGATGACTGTCACCTTCTTAAATCTCTTTATGGTTGGCTTCACTCACTTAATCATGATATTTTTTTCCATTCAAATGTACTTTTGGCATATACAATACTTGGAGGGTAAGCACTTGAGAGATGAAGAAGAAATGTTTTCAATAAATTGATTACTAGCCTGCTTCCAGGTCCAATTCAAGGTGCTGGTCATTACCTTTCAAGCCCTTTATGGCATGGATCCAATTTACCTCAGCAGATACCGTATATGCCGGTGTATAAGACGACTTCTGCAAGTGCTAAACTCGGCGCCAAAGACGGGGGTCGTCTTATACCCCGAGTCGTCTTATATGCCGGAAATACTGGTAGTTTCCGATGTATAAGACGACGTTCTAGGAATGCGGCTCGGCGACAAAGACGGGGGTCATCTTATATGCCGGCTCGCCTTGTATGCCAGCATATACGGTAATAATAATAATAGTAAAGTTGGAAGGGACCATGGAGGTCATCTAGTCCAACCCCCTGCTCAGGCAGGAAACCCTATACCATTTTGGACAAATGGCTGTCCAGTCTCTTCTTAAAAACTTCCAGTGTTGGAGCATTCACTGCTTCTGGAGGCAGGTTGTTCCACTGGTTAATTGTTCTCACTGTCAGGAAGTTTCTCCTTAGTTCTAGGTTGCTTCTCTCTTTGGTTAGTTTCCATCTGTTGCTTCTTGTCCTGCCTTCAGGTGCCTTGGAAAATAGCTTGATTCCCTCTTCTTTGGGGCAGCCCCTGAGATATTGGAACACTGCTATCATGTCCCCCCTCGTCCTTCTCTTCGTTAAACTAGACATACCCAATTCCAGCAACTATCCCTTATATGTTTTAGCCTCCAGTCCCCTGATCATCTTTGTTGCTCTTCTCTGTGCACTTTCTAGAGTCTCAGCATCTTTTTTACATCGCGGTGACTAAAACTGGATGCAGTATTCCAAGTGTGGCCTTACCAGGGTATTGTAAAGTGGAATTAACACTTCACGTGATCTTGATTCTATCCCTCTGTTAATGCAGCCTAGCACTGTGTTGGCCTTTTTCGCAGCTGCAGCACACTGCTGGCTCATATTTAGGTGATTATCTACTAGGACTCCGAGGTCCCTCTCACACTTACTACCCTAATGGAATTATAGCTCACCCCATTTGCTTCGGCAGAAGGGCTTACTGTGGGACCCATCGCTAAGGAATTCCAGCTGGCAGGGGCAAGGAGAAGAGCCTTTTCTGATGTGGTCCCTACCTTGTGGAACATCCTGCCACCAGAAGTGAGACCCTGATGTAGGTACTCTCTGCTGGAGGTGGCTGACAAAATAAAAACACCTCGCCCCTTTGCGGCCCATCCCTTCGGCTCTAATTTTTACACGATTTCTTTACATTTTAATTCTTTCTATATTTATCTTTTTATTGTTTGTAAGCCATCCAGAATCACCTTCTCAGTGAGATGGGTGCCATATAAATTTAATCAATAAATAAAATCACAGAAGAGATGTTTTTATTTCCCCCTCCCCAGAAACCTCCTGTCTTTTGCAATATCGAAAATATTACAAAATAAGGCAGACGCTGTTTCCTACCTGGAACTAGAGTGAATCTTTTCACACTCTCCTGCTGTTTCTTTTACAACATGTTGGTACAATGGCTAATTAAGAAAACAGAGGGCACCACAGTGATTGGCTACGAGTGAGATAATGGGGCAGGTGTTGATGTGTATTTTATTTGTTCATCATCTGACATCTGGGATGATCATTACTCAGTCCAAGAGAGTAGAATAGCCCATGACACAATTATTTAAAAATTACACAAACTTACTTGATCATACTTGGCAACTATCTCAGCACGTTCTTGAGCAAGTTTAACAGCAGCATCCTGTTCAACATCAGAACCTGGGGGGGGGGGGAGAGAAAACAGATAGAGATGGACAGGTTTTATCTAGCTGTGTTTTCACGATTGGCATTTAAAGAAAAATATATCTATATATATATTAAAAAAATATATTTCTTCCTTATAAACACAATACTGATGATTTCAAAAAGGGTCTCTGAGCATTGGGCATTTTAAACTGACAATTTTTCATCTGCTGTCTTTTGCAATATTTTTGCATACCTGTTTCAGTAGTTTTGGCAAGCTATTACAAAGCAATTTTTTTTTAAATAATGTATTAGCAATGCTGGTTCAAGTTAGCCCTTCTGAAATTAAAATCTGTGGCGAAATGCACTTTATTTAAGGAATCCGGGCAGTAAAACAAGAAAATCTGAATAGCGCTTCCAATAAAATATAAAGATAATATATCATCAATAGCTACAGGGGCATTGTTTGTGCTAAAGTCGTGGTGGCAAACTCAGAGCCCTCTCTGTGGGCACATGCGCTGTCGCCCCAGTCCTAGGCCTTCAGCTGGGTTTTATAAAACCTTTTCGCTTTAGGCCTCCGCCGCCATGTGCAAAAAGAAAAAAAGGTTCAATCAATCAATTTGAACTTCTCACAGGGAAAAAAAAAGGTCTCACAAAGTTGGAATTGATTGACCGAACTTTTTAGTCCCAACCAGTCTGCCGTTACCACTGCAGCCACGCCCACCCAATGGGCCACGCCCACCCAATGGGCCACACCCAGCCAATGGGCCATGCCCACCTGGCACCCAACGATACATAAGTGGGTTTTGGGTTGCAGTTTGGGCACTCGGTCCTTAAAAGTTTCGCCATCACTGTGCTAAAGCCTTCATTTATATAGGACAATATCTTGATTTCGATCCACTGTTAACAATGTAGGATTTATGACAAAAGTTTTTTAAGCATAACTTCTGTATTAGAAACACTATGTTGTACACAGAAAAATATTCGTTAAGATTTTTTTTTAACAATCAAATTAAAGAGAAATAATCCACATGTTGTTATTATTAACCATGTTGCCTGGGTTTACCCCATATTCTTAATAGTTCAGTAAAAGGAATATGCAGTTGCATTTGTACAATACACCAATAATGGCTAGTTTTAAGGTTATTTCATTTTTTTAAAAAAAAACTTTTGAGGTACAGAATCAGGACATGACATTCACGGACACAGAGGACAAATTAGTTTATTTGTGAATCCAAACTATTTGACTACCTCGTGCAGGGGTCTTCAAACTGGTCCTTTTATGACTTGTGGACTTCAACTCCCAGAATTCCTCAGCCAGTTGAGGAGTTGAAGTCCACAAGTCATAAATGGGCCAAGTTTGAAGACCCCTGACCTCATTCCTCAATATACCATTAAGAAGCATTTGGATTTTTATCAAGCAATACAGACAGTCCTCCGCTTACAACAGTTCATTTGGTGATCATTCGAAGCTACAACGGGGTTGAAAAAAGCAACTTATGATCATTTTTCATACTTTAGGACCACTGCAGCATCCTCTTTGTCATGTGATTTATATGCAACTGACTCACGTTTGGCAGCATCCCGGGGTCACGTGATTCCCTTTTGCGACCTTCTGACAAGCAAAGTCAATGGGGAAGCCAGATTCACTTAACAACCGTGTTATTTATTTTAACACCTGCAGTGATTCACTTAACATCTGCGGCAAGAAAGGTCGTAAAACGGGGCAATACTCACTTAGCGAATTTTTCACTTAGCCACATAAATTTTGGGCTCAACCGTGGTCGTAAATTGAGGACTATCTGTTATCTGTTAGGAAGGAAACCAGGCCACCAAAGAACAACAGCTGACAACAGCCTGAGCATAGAACAACTCTGAGCAGTAGTGCAAGATTGGAAGATGTGGAGAGACCTGGTGCATAGAATCATCAATCAGACATGACTGAATGGATAATATCATCATCAAGCAATTGTTGTTGTTAGCTGCGAAGTCGTGTCCGACCCATCGCGACCCCATGGACAACGTTCCTCCAGGCCTTCCTGTCCTCTACCATCTTCTGGAGTCCATTGAAGCTCATGCCTACTGCTTCAGTGACTCCATCCAGCCACCTCATTCTCTGTCGTCCCCTTCTTCTATGGCCCTCAATCTTTCCCAGCCTTAGGCTCTTCTCCAGGGAGTCCTTCCTTCTCATTAGTGTCAAAGTATTTGAGTTTCAACTTCAGCATCTGGCCTTCTAAAGAGCAGTCAGGGTTGATCTCCTCTAGGACTGACCGGTTTGATCGCCTTGCAGTCCAGGGGACTCGCAGGAGTCTTCTCCAGCACGCAATATCTTCTCCATCAAACAACATCCAGACAAAATAAGCCTACTATATTATTCTAGTGATGCAGATCACTTTCTCACCGAGATGCAAAAAAGCGTTTTATGGCTAAGGTACAAAGATTCCTTGGCTGACAGACTAGGGAGGCAAAGATCCCAACAAGGCAGAAAGTTTGACAGGCTCTCTCACTTTCCCTAGCCCTATTATTTCTGCCGGAATGGATAGGTCTCACAGCTTTTCAGCAGCCTGTGCTCTATTTTTAAATTCTTCCTGGTTGCAAATTGGCCAGGCTTGAGGTAGTTAACAAAGCCCAACTATTATCCATGCTGGGAAGTGACTGCCCTCTAATGCTGAAAAACAAATCAGATCAGATTCAGAAAACCGTGAAGATCAGAAGATTTTTCAGACAGCTCCAGGTACTGCTGTTTTCTCCCTGGATCACTGGGGTCACCTAATGATTACAAGGTGCTGCTGAACGAGAAGACATTAGGTCACACAAAAAGAAAAAGAAAAAAGCAGTAGAGCCATTATAAAAGCAAGTGACAAAAATAATGGTCTGACTCACCAACAGAGTCAACAGGGAAGTGAAAGGAAGGAGACACAGAGACATCAGACTCGGGCGAATATTAATCAGAAGATAAAGGAATTACATTTCTCCAATTCCCCTACCTCCTTGAGCAAAAAAGTAAATTGCAGAATCTGGTAAATTAGAGGTCTCTGGGTCACGCTTGAATCCCTGAAGCTTTTCAATTTGCCAGCATAAAAATAAAGAGCTTATGCTAATAGTTGATCGCTTTTAGGTTGGAATTAGAATTTGGTCCAGCAAATTTTAGGAAGTCGATGAGTATCTTTGCATTTCTATCCCGCTCTCTCTGCAGGATGCTCTAATGAGCCCTTGACAGAAGAGACTGACAGCCCTTTTGTTAGTAACTTCACTGCATAAGTCAAGCACATTATGAGCTTCAAGATACTGGCCAGCAACATCGTCAACACCTCTAAATCTGTTGGAACTATCACTTTCAAAATTCCCAAAATGAACTTGCCAAATGTGAATCTGGATTCCAGTATTTTAAGATTGTATTAGATTAGGTTTAGGCTCATCCCTAAGAATTATTGTGCATATGTTATGTAATAGGAAAATCTTATTTAATAACCAGTTGTTCAGGTAATTTTTCAATCTGCAAAACCTATCTACCATATGTCACTGAGAGAAAAAGACAAGTGCTATTCCTGATAGCTACTATGTAAGTAGTGCGCTATCTAATAATCTGACATAAAATCCTACATACTCGTATAATAAATAGTGATTAAGTGTTGACAGTGATAGATTTAATCTTTTTGCCGAAGAGAGGGGAAGAGAACAAAGATGAAGGTTCAATGGTTCACTAGCGTCGCTATATTACACCTCAGACAGCAAACTAAAAAACAACCAGGAACCATATAAATACAACACATAGAGCAGGGGTCTTCAAACTTGCTCCTTTTAGGACTTGTGGACTTCAACTCCCAGAATTCCTCAGCCAGGCACGCTGGCTGAGGAATTCTGGGAGTTGAAGTCCCCAAGTCATAAAAGGGGCAAGTTTGAAGACCCCTGACATAGAGCAACCCAACACATATTCTGAAGAGAGAGGAATTCCCTGACGATGGACTGGAATCTAGTATGAACCCAAAAGCTTGGAAGAATAAACCTTTGGTCCCGCTGACCAATTCAGATTGGATCATGTAAAAAAATACGGTAACTCCAGCAGATCACAAGCAGTGTATCCTTCCATGGCCTGACTTTTGCAGCCCTTAGCTGCAGTCTGCAATGAACAATAGCAAACTATAAATTATGTGGTCCCTGATGAACAGAGGCGAACAAGCAGCTGTGTCTATTTCTAAGCCAACTGGTTTGAATATTACAGCTATTTTAGAGGCAATAACACTCACTTGTGCCTGACTCCTTGAGCAATGACTGCATGCTCAGATTTATGATGGCACTGCTCTGTTGTCTTTGCACAACAACATTCTTACCATAATCTCATGTACTAACATTCTTAGATCATGAAGCCAACAATCTAATCAGGAAATTGGTAGTACCATGTTTCGTTCCACTTTGCTTTGTTATTTAAGCCTACCATTTGTTATATAAAAGAAAGGATAAGTGAATTAACCTTATGAACAAAATGAGGACTTTTACCCATCTTGCCAAAACTGAACAGATTAAGGGTAGCCCCCATTCTTTTCTCCCCATAACGTCTTCCACTACTGATCTTGACTGCTTCTGAAGAGATGTTGAAGGGAGAAAGGCCCAAGTACAGCTTTTATCCCAACCGCTAGGAATCTTCCACAGGGCTCTATGACATAATACAGGTTCCTTAAGAGCGCAGAGAAACCTTGCACTAATGATGCAGCCGCGAGAGCGATTGTGGGTGCGCCAAGGTACACCCACGTGTCACCTATCCTCCGCGAGCTGCACTGGCTTCCTGTGGGTCTCCGGACGCAATTCAAGGTGTTGGTTATCACCTTTAAAGCCCTTCATGGCTTAGGACCAGGTTACTTACAGGACCGCATACTGCCGCATAGTTCCCAGAGACCGGTGAGGTCCAACAGATTGGGCCTCCTTCAGGTCCCGTCGGCCAGACAATGTCGGCTGGCGGGCCCTCGGGGAAGGGCCTTTTCTGTGGTGGCTCCGACGTGGTGGAATCAACTTCCCCCTGAGATTCGAACTACTCCCACCTTGCCGGCCTTCAAGAAAGCCATTAAAACTCTCCTGTTCTGGCAGGCCTGGGGTTGATGTCCCCGGGGGGGGGGGCGGGACACGATTGGGACATGCTGTATGAATGCACTCATTTTTATGGTTATATTTATTGTTTTAATTTTGTATGCCGCCCTGAGTCCCTAGAGATTGGGCGGCATATAAATTTTATTAATAAATAAATAAGTTGCTAGGTACTCAAGTCTATTTACACCAGGTCCTAGGCACAAGGGAAGAGGGTTTCTTATGGCTGTAAGACCGGTCTGCAAAGGACAGAGAAAAAAAAAAAAAAACAGTGGAACCAGCCACAGAATAGGAGCAAAAAGTACACAACTCAGCAATGAGCCAACACAAGAGGCAGAAACTAATGTAACTGAATTAACCCACGGCGTCTTCTAATAGCTCACCGTGACTTACCTAACCACCGAGTATGAGGGTCCCAAACTGCACGCATAAAATTACCACAGTGCTTTCACTTCGCTGAGAAGAGTGAAGCTACCGACACGGATCAGCGTTAACTGCCAAATCCACTCATGTATGTGCTACCTTTTAAGCATGAGAAGAACCTCTTCTAACCATATGAAAAAGCAGCAAAGTAATTACTAGCATGCAACAGTTTGTTCTGGAACACTGGCAAAAAGCGCCGGCTGATTTTGCTGAATTCCTTAAATCTCTAGCGTTGTGGAGTAGCAATTAGGAAACTGTAGATCTATTTTAATATCACTGAAATTCCTTGTTTCTTCATTCAACCCCTTAAACGATTTAGCTGCCTATAAGCTCCTGACCACGGGGACACCATTAAGATCTCTGTTATTTACAACGCTGTTTTCAAAGCCTTCCTACCAGGAGACCGAAATTCCTTAGGATAATGTCAAAGGAACATAACACAGGGATTGGATGAAATTATTAGACGGATCTGAATCTGGTCAGAAGTTGGATGGGAGATTAGGGACATCCCACGGATAAATACTAGCTGTGCTTTTTCAGTGAAAGAAATGGGCAGATCTCAGGTTTTGGATATCTCATGTAATTTTCTCCAGCCCCACACCCCAAAACATTACCAATACAAAATAGTACTTTGCAGGTTAAGCCAGATGCTAAACCATGGCTCAGAGGGTGGAGCAAATGACTTACTACAGCTAATTATTATCCACAAATTACCTGAGTTTCTGTATCACTTGGGTTTTAGCATTAGGTTTCACAATTAGCTAGCACATCCATAAGAAAATTTGGTTGATGGCAGTCAAGTGGGCACTTCATACTTGAAGGAAGTAGTAACTTGGGCAACAAAGCTAATAGAGTCCCCCCCCTTCTAATAAATAAGGGGGGAGGAAATAGACTGGCTTACAATAAATCATCTATCTAACAGCTGATTCCATCGTTCTTCTGTTTAGCACCATCCAAAAGAAAATATGGATTATAAATTCAATAAAAAAGGTATTATGGTAGAAGATTATTGACGTAGTACCTATGTTTTTTTTTCTTTTCTAGCATTTTGTACAGAAGAGTCAATACACAAAATACTTTAAGAGCTATGGAACCAAATCTACTCCTCTTTTAAAAGTACAGTTTGAGGAAAACCACACACAAAGAATACTGATAATCATTTCTAAGTAAAGTTATCTGAGCAAGTCCTATTTTAAAGGAAGGCAGTTGAAATAGATACACAAGAAGCTGTTTTATCTCAACGGCTTACTTCTGATACTAAGAATAAGTCAGTAAAGCATGCAATTTCAATTTGGAGTTGTATTTTACCATTGAGGTTTGCTTTCCTTGAACGGCCCCGAATCCTGTTTACAGTTTTAGTCCTCATTGAGCAAGAAACTCTATTTCCAGACCGCTGCGCAACAATCAATCATACAAAATCCATTCTGTTCACTCGTGCAGAAAAATCCAAGGAAAAGGGGATGACACCCATTTTTCTTCTTCTTCTTCTTCTTCTTCTTCTTCTTCTTCTTCTTCTTCTTCTTCTTCTTCTTCTTCCTCTTCCTCTTCCTCTTCTTCCTCTTCCTCTTCTTTCTTGAAAAATGAGACCTTCAAGTAACTCAGAGCGGTTTGAATATCAAATTCCTGCAAACACTGACCCAATGTGGCATGCTTTACTGTCCACAGAGCTTTAAAACAATGGTGCCATTGGGAGAGTTGTGAACGACGCGCAAGTATTTCCCATCGCAGCCTACACATCCAGCATTCCACTCCAGAAGAAACGAGTCTTCAGTAAACCCGTTGCACAACAGCGAGATGAACAACATCAAGGACGGCAATAAATACCAAGAAGAGAATATCAAATGATAGACATTGTCCTTGGTTACAAAGTATTTCAGTTGCAGCTATTAAATACGCACATAGACAGAATGTTCCCGTTCAAAAAAAAGAAGGGGGAAAAAAAAACTTGTTCCACGCAGGCTTCACACACACAAAAAAACAAAGCTATATAAGATTGCGTTGCCGTGTCTTAGCTCTCTTGGAAATACCCAAACATTCCAATTCAGCAAGGCTTCATTAAAGTATTAAAATTCTTGTGGGTGGCAACTACAGTATTTGACGCTCTTTTAATGAACGTTGAGGGTTGGTTTTTACAAGAATTAAGCTAAAAGGCACCAGGACACACCCATCGGAAAGCCTTGCTAGCAGGAGAGTAGCTTCACTACAAGTAGTCCTTGCCTTACAGCCATTCATTTAGTGACTGTTCGAAGTTACAATGGAACTGAAAAAAGTGACTTATGACCGTGTTTCACCCTTACGACTGTTGCACAGACCCATGATCAAAATACACACACTTGGCAACTGACTCGTATTTATGACAGTTGTGGGGCCCTGGGGTCACGTGATCAGCTTTTGTGTCCTTCTGACAAGAGAAGTCAATGGGAAGGCCAGATTCATTAACAACCCTGTTACTAACTTAACAACTGCAGTGATTCACCTAACAGCCGTGGAAAGAAGGGACGCAAAATGGGGCAAAAACAGTCACTTAAGGACTGTTTTGCTTAGCGAGGGACATTTTGGACCCAGTTGTGGCCATACCTGTGCTTAGAAATGAAGCTACCTGTGCTTAGAAATGAAGCAAAGAGCTACCCTAGTTTTAGGAATATATTGTTTTTTTTAAACAGCAATCCTAAAACAATCCAGACATTGGTGGAAATAAATGATGATGATGATGATGATGATGATGATGGAAGGGACCTTGTAGGTCATCTAGTCCGACCCCCTGCTCAGGCAGGAAGCCCTATACCAGTGGTTCTCAACCTGTGGGTCAGGACCCCATTTGGGGTCGAACAACCATTTCACGGGGGTCGCCAAACAACGCAGTCCACCATTTTTTTCCCCTTTTCCTTAGCTGTGCTACTCCCCTTTTATTCTATTGGCTTTCAAAAGCCAATAGGAATTGTCCAAGCTGTCTCTGCCCTGCTGAGCCCGCCAAAAGTCTCATTCTGCAAACGGTGCTGCACCAGTTGAGTACTCCTCGACTTACGACCGGTTGAGTAGTCCTCGACTTACAACCGGTTGGGGGGTCGCGGCATTAAAAAGGTTGAGAACCACTGCCCTATACCATTGTGGATTACCTGTATAGAAGGAGATCCCTTGATGTCACTAGTTCTATGCTACCTTCTGGATGCAGTTTGCATGCCAGAAAACAGGATGTGTATCCTGTCTCTGGATAGGGCAGGGGTAGGCAACCTTGGCTCTTTTATGACTCGTGGACTTCAACTCCCAGAATTCCTGAGCCAGCATGGCTCAGCTTGGAAAGCTGTCCCTTTCCCCTCAGCGTGGCTGGCTCAGGAATTCTGGGAGTTGAAGTCCACCAGTCATAAAAGAGCCAAGGTTGCCTACCCCTGGGATAGGGTTATCCAACTATAATGGCCCATGTATTTATTATTAGATGTGCATGCTGCCCAACTCCCAGGAATTGCGTAGTTTGCAAACTGCACTACTTCAGCTACTTGTGGAGTGAATCGATGGGCACATGGGCGGCATTAAGAATTTTTGCAGTGAAACATGTTGCGTGGAAGTGCCTGTAATAATGCATTCTCTAATCCCTGGGAAAGAACAGGTTGTTTCTGAAAGCACTCCAAGTTCACAAGAGCTGGAGATCCCTCCCTCACTTGGTAAATGGTTAGCTACATCTCCTCTTCATCAAAGACTGTTACCAAGAAAATGAAAAGAAAAGAAAAAAAAAGGCCTGTCTTTGTAAACTCAGATTAAATGGGTCCTAAAGGTAACGGTATTTAGTTTTTGAGATTTTAGGTTAACATTAAGTTGCCTCTTCCCTTCTCAATCAATCAATCAATCAATCAATCAATCAGTCAATCAGAATAGAACTAGAACAGACCTTGGAGGTCTTCTACTCAAGCAGAAGCCTCTATATCAGTGTTTCTCAACCTTGACAATTTTAAGGCATGTGGACTTCAACTCCCAGAATTCCACAGCCAGCATTGCTGGCTGTGGAATTCTGGGAGTTGAAGTCCACATGCCTTAAAATTGTCAAGGTTGAGAAACACTGCTCTATATATCATTTCAGATAGGTGACTATCCAGTCTCTTCTTAAAAATCTCCAGTGATGAAGCACCCACTGCTTCTGAAGGCAAGCTGTTCCACTGATTAATTGTCCTCACTGTCAGAAAATTCCTCCTTAATTCCAGATTGCTTGTCTCTCCTTGATTAGTTTCCAGCCATCGTTTCTTGTCTTGCCTTCTGGTGCTTTGGGAAATAGGCTGACCCCCCCCCCCTCTTCTTTGTGGCAGTGATTATATAATGATTAAAGAAGCCTCTGTGAGAATCTTTCAAAGAGTCTATCAAAACTCTGCCCATACCTTATCCTTTTTTTTCCCCCTTTGGCTCTTTCAACAAAGTAGTCCACATATTAGAAGGACTTCAAAGAAACCAAACGTTTTGTGGCTTGATTCACAACCTTGTTCTACAATAAACATCGACAGCATGACATCTGCCTACTACTTGAGAGGCTGCCACAAGAGGAGAGAGTCAACTTATTCTCCAAAGCACAGAGGGCAGGACAAGAAGCTATAAGGGGGCAGCTTGTTAAGGAGAGAAGCAACCTAGAACTAAGGCGAAATTTCCTGACAGTGAGAACAATTAATCAGTAGAATGACTTGCCTCCAGAAGCGGTGAATGCACTGGAGGTTTTTAAGTAGAGATTGGACGACCATTTCTTTGAAATGGTATAGGGTTTTCTGCCTGAGCAGAGGGTTGGTATGATTCTCTATCTATCTATCTATCTATCTATCTATCTATCTATCTATCTATCTATCTATCTATCTATCTATCTATCTATCTATCTATCTATCTATCTATCTCCTCTCCTCTCCTCTCCTTCATGCTACAACCTGGGATAGCTTCCTGATAGTTTTTTATCAAATACTAACAAAGCCCATGCTTAGCTTTTCAAACTCAGACAAGTTCCACTAGGTTTTCCCACTTGCCAGGCTGTGCTGAGAAATTATTAATGAAAGGCAGACATTTTTTATTTTTTATTTATTTTTTTATTTTATTAAAATTTATAGACCGTCCCACTCCCGCAGGACTCCGGGCGGTTTACAATAAAAACACAACATAACTCGACAAACGAACAATACAATAACATTCATCCAGGGGTCAGATTTTATAAACCCCAGGCTTGCCGGAAAAACCAGGTCTTAAGCAGCTTGTGGAAAACCAACAGGGTGGGAGCGGTCCTAATCTCCAGGGGGGGGAGCTGATTCCAAGACGAGGGCGCCATCACAGAGAAAGCCCTCCCCCGAGACCCCGCCAAATGGCACTGCTTGGCCGACGGGACCTGATGGAGGCCCAGCCTGTGGGATCTAACCGGACGAAGGGAACATCATATTGCAATCACCTATATAGCCCGATATAAGCACCAACAGATATCAGTACATATTTTGTCATTATGTACATGATCACTTAGTTCAGTGATGGCGAACCTTTTAGAGACCAAGTGCCCCAAAACTGGCCCCGGCCCCGCTCCACTCCCTGCCCCTGCTCCGCCCCCACCCCGCCTCCCGCAGGGCCACTCACCGCCTCCAGGATCTGCCACAGATCGCCCAGGTAGCCCAGCAGCGCCATGGTGGCCATGCCCTCTGCCTGCGCCCCGCAGCATCAACTGTGCACGATGGAGCGTGAGGGCAGAGTCTTATCTATGCTGCCTGGCTGCCATGTCCTTGGCTGTGCTGCTCCATGTGGGCCACACTCGGGGGGCGGGGGGAGCGACTCTCCTCCAGGGGGGCTGCTGGTGAGGAAGGGGTCATGGGGGATCAAGGCTGGGGCCACGGCACGTGTGCCCACAGAGAGGGCTCCGAGTGCCGCCTCTGGCACGCGTGCCATAGGTTCGCCACTACTGACTTAGTTCTTTCATGCTTCCTTCTTAATAACAAGCTAGCCAATGAAGCTCCAAAGGTTTACGGAGGTTTGCATAAACAAGGTTTACATAAACAACAACTTACTTCCCTACAAACTTAATCCAAAGCACCTTGGAGCAACATTAGACCAGACCAGACCAGACTCTTTCCTATAAAATACACCTAGAGAACACGGTGGCAAAAATCCATTCTAGGGATAAACATATTCCAGAAATTAGGTTGAACTAAATGAGGAGCTTCAGCTGCTACCCTGGGGTCATCCGCCTTAGGACTAGTCTACTTTGCAGCAGAATACGGTGTCCCTGGATGGCTTAAAAACTGCTGTACCCGTAAGTTGGACGCCAGACTCAATGACACCATGAGGATTATAAGCGGATGTATTAAAACCACTCCTATTTGCTGGCTTCCTGTTCTGAGCCATCTAGCAGCGAAGGCAAGATGCACTAGTGAGAGAATACAGAAAAATTAGGAAGAAGTCTCTCCTACCGGCGTACGCCGACCTTCTCAACAACTGCCAGCTTCAAATCTAGGAAGCCGCCACTGGCATGTGAACAACATCCGCTTAACAACTTTAACATCAATTCCCATTGAAAAGCCACATGGGTTGCTGAATGCCAAGACATAGGAAGATATGTGGATAATGCTATGCAAAAGATGCCAGTTTCTGAACTACCACGCCAGCAATGGATAATCCTGAGTAGGTTTCCTACCTCACACAATGGGTGTCTGTCGGGACTCTTCTGTATAAATGGGGCATAGCATCCTCCTCCTTAGTGTGACTGCGGGGTCCCATGTCAAACTGTAGATCCCATCATGACCGTCTATAACAGTGGTTCTCAACCTTTTTAATGCCACGACCCCCAACCGGTCGTAAGTCGAGGACTACTCAACCGGTCGTAAGTCGAGGACTACTCAACTGGTGCAGCACCGTTTGCAGAAGGGGACTTTTGGCGGGCTCAGCAGGGCAGAGACAGCCTGGACCATTCCTATTGGCTTTTGAAAGCCAATAGAATTAGACTCTATTCAAGAGAGTCTATTCTATTGGCTTTCAAAAGCCAATAGAATAAAAGGGAGTTGCACAACTAAGGAAAAGGGGGGAAAAATGGAGGACTGCGTTGTTTGGCGACCCCCGTGAAATGGTCGTTCGACCCCAAATGGGGTCCCGACCCACAGGTTGAGAACTGCTGGTCTATAAGGTAAGGTCAGATACTGGCCTAGTTCCTGATTTTTTTTTCCAGATAAATGATGCTATGCTTCAATATTAAATAGCTTAGACCAGAGTTCCCCAATGTTTCCGGCTTTGCGGACCGGCGGGGAAGGGGGGGGGAATGGTTCACGCAAGTGGCCAGCAAGAGCGCACATGCACAGCTCCATTTTCGCAAGCGGCGTGCACACACGCAAATGGAGCACGCACATGGTTGCCAGC